CCCTTAGTACCAGCAGTCAAGAAGTCAAGAGACATGTTGCAGTAGGAAAGTCTGCAGTCAGAGACCTCCCTCTCCTAATCACTGAGGAACAACAATGTCAGACTGAGAATGAAGGTGTGTCTGAACAGGACACAGTCTCTCCAATCACTTGCTATCCATCTGAGAGCTGGACAATGAATATAATAGAAGAACTGATGCCTCTGAGCTGTGGTGCTAGAGAAGAGTACTGAACGTTTCATGGACCTCCAAAAGAACAGAAAAAGTACAGCCAGAGTACTTCCTGGAGGCAAAGATGATATACTTTGCCTCACATAATTTCAGGCCTGTTGCTAGGAGAGGCTATTCCTTGGAGAGGAGTATCATGCTTGAAACGGTAGAGGGTCAGCAAAGGAGAGGAGGATCTTCAACCAAGTGAACTGACAGTGACTGCTGCAATGGGCTCCAGTGTGTCAGGAAGTGTGAGGAATGACACAGGATAGGACAGAGTTCAGAGCTGTTGTTCATAGGGTCGCTAGGGGTCATACTCAACTCAGTAACACGGAACACCACCACAACAATCATATAAGAAAGATTCTATGTTCATACAATATGTAGTTTTTTATATCTTGCTTCTTTTCACTTAGCAGCTTTTACAGGTTCATCTACACCTTAGTATGTATCAGTGAGTCATTCCTTTTTCATTGTTGAATTGTTGTTGTTGTTATGCGCCATTGAGTCGTTTGTGATTCATAGCGACCCGATGTACAAGAGCCCTAAACGCCATTCTATGTTGTGCCAACCTTTCGGTCTCAAACACACTCATTCCCACCACTCAACTCACAGAATCGATCCATCTCATTGAGGGTCTTCCTTTCCTGTGCCCTCCCTCCACTCTCCCAAACATGATGTCCCTCTCCAAGGACCAGTCCCCCCTTGCAAAATGCCCAAAGTATGTCAGAAGCTTCAGAATCCTTGACTCCAAGGAGCATTCTGGCTTCACCCTCTCTAGGACAAACCTGTCTGTTCTCCTAGCAGTCCATGGGATATTCAACACTCTTCTCCAGCACCACAGCTCAAAGGCATCAATTCTCTAACATCCCTATTCATTGTCCAACTCTCCGATGCATAGCACGTAATTGCAAAGACTATAGTCCAGATCAGGCGCACCTTAGTCTCCAGCTGTCATTACTGTCTTCAGTACTCTTGAGAGGTCCCTCACAGCTGACTTACCCAATGCAATTCGTCTCCTGATTTTCTGACTGCTGTTACCAAGAGTGTTGACTGTGGAGCCAAGTAAACTAAAACTGTTAACTAGCACAATCTCTTCACCATCCATACTGATGCTGCCAATTGACCCAGTGGTGAGAATCTTTGTTTTCTTGATGTTGAGCTTCAATCCATATTGAAGACTGCAGTCTTTGACCTTCTGCAGCAAGCGCTTCAGGTCCTCCTCAGTTTCAGTAAGCAGGGTTGTGTCATCCACATAATGCAGGTTGTTGATGATTCTTCCACCAATCCTAACGTCACATTCCTCCTCGTACAGCCCAGCGTCTCGGATGTTCTGTTCTGCATACAGATTGAAAAGGTATGGAGACAAAATACATTCCTGCCAGATCCCTTTCTTGATTTTGAACCATCCAGTGTCTCCTTGCTCTGTTCTGACAACTGCCTCTTGGTCCAAGTATAGGTTTTGCATTAGCACAATCAAATGTACTCCATTTTATGGATATATACCATATTAGTGACTTTTTATTTTATGATCTGGATTTTCATTTCCCAGATTTTACAATGGATAGAGGATAATGTAGGTGCTTGAGGGTGGAGACTGGCAGGGTGGGACCTTTAACTAACATTTCTTTAACTCAACTGACACATAACTGTTGTTGTTAGGTGCTGTCTAGTTGGTTGTGACTTACAGTGATCCAATGTACAATAGAACAAAACACTGCTGAATCTAACACCATCCTCATAGCTGTTACTATTTATTAGATCTATGTACGAGCTCACCATGTCAATATATCTCATTGAGGGTTGTCTTCTTTGTTGCTGTTAAGGATTGTTGAGTACAACTCATAGTGAATCTAGGAACAACAGATCTGAACTCTTTCCTATCCTGCACTACCCTTATCATCTGACACACTTGAATCCATTGCCATAGACAAGTAACAATAATCCATTCTGTTGAAGATCGTATTCTCTTTTACTGATCCTCCACCTTTCCAAGACGATGGCCCTCTCCTCAAGAAATCTCTTCTCCTAACAACCTGTCCAAAGTATTAGAGATGAAGCTGCACCATTCTTACCTCCAAGGAACACTCAGATTACATTTTCTCCAAGACATATCTGTTTGTTCTTTTGTTAAGCACTCTTCTCCAACACCACAACTCAAAGTCATTGATTCTTCTTCTGTCATCCTTACTCACTGTCTATCTCTTAGACACACAGCAGGTGACTGAAAAGAGCTTGCATCAGGCATACCTTAGCTTTAAACTGACATCATTGCTCTTCATGACTTCAGAGAGGTCACTGACAGCAGACTTTTCCAATGATCTCCTAGAAGCTGGTACCTGATTGTAGATCCAAGCAAGATGAAATCGTTGACAGTTTCATATTCTCTCCATCTAAGATGGTCAGAGCACCATCTTTGCTTGGGAGCAGTAGCAGCAGCCAGGCAGATAGTGGTCTGAGCCAGCCTTGCTGGAAGGAACAGAAGGTTCAGCCAGGCTCTGCTTTTATCTGCCCACCTGTTTATTTTTATGGTGTGCTACCGAGAGTATAGCATTTATCTGCCAGTTTTCTGTATTGTGGAGGTGTGGAAGGGTGGGAGGAAAAGACTTGTGTGGTATAACTGGTGTGTGTATATATATATTTGCTTGTTCATAGTTTGCTCTTTTGAGTACAGTACTTGTCTGTCAGTTTTGTACTGAAGTAGCTTGCTGGCTGCTGTGATGCTAGAAGATGTGTCACCAGTATTGTTTCTGTGGAGCTTTCAGATTAAGATAGATGAAGAAGAACTAGACATTCATTTCCCAAACAACTGGCCTTTGAAAACCCTATGAACAATTTAGAGGAACACTTCTTTGCTGATCCTCAAGTTCACCAAGCGATCCATTATTATTCATTAAGGTTTTCATTGAACAGTTTTTACAGACTAGACATCCAGATCATTCTTCCTAGTCTATTTTAGTCTGGAGGCTCCACTGAAACCTATCTACCATGGACGACCATGCTGGTATGTGAAGTAATGGTGGCATGGTTTCCAGGATCATAGCAACACGCAAGCCACCACAGGATCACAAACTGATAGATGGGTTGCGGTTAATGACATGAGCAAGTGTTTCTCAAACCCAGTCCAGTGCACACATGATGCGCTCATTCTAGATTCATACATTACATCATCAATAGCTTTCAAAACCATCTTCACATTCTCTTCCTTCTAAAAAGAATAAAAAAGACACTGCAATCCCAGAGGTGCGCGGTTCAAATCCACCGGATGCTCTGCTGAAGAAGGAGGAACAATCGCCTCCTGTAGCAGTCAGATCCAATTTGACGGTACACACATAAAAAATTTAAAAAAAAGAAGTTTAAAAAAAAAAAGAATAAAAAAGACAGTTCCCCCCAAGGTTTGTTGTTGGTTTGGGTTTTGGGTTTTTTTTTTTCTTTCAAAGCATATAGAAACCACTGCTTTTACTATGCCTTCTACTTTACTGTCTTTCACTACCTCCAAATCCTTGTTTTCTCTCTTTAAGATTATCCACAGTGAAAGCTTTAAAATTTATATTTTCAAAGTCTCTGAAAAGGAGAATGGAAAGTAAGTGTCCACATACTGTGTAATTTTATTTATAAGGAGCCTGCGGTTCTTCTAATATGGTACCTGGAAGTAAAAAGTATAATACAAATATAGATGTACCAGGAAGATCCAAGTGAATGTCTGACATCTTCATTAACAGGGAAGGTCAAAGAATATATAGTAGTGAGTACAGGCTTTCTTTTTTCTTTAATACGACTTTCTAAATCTTAGTTTTTAATTTTTTATAAAATGCTACAATAGCATTATCTTCCTTCTAATGTATGACACCTGATTCAGAAAAAAAAGCTGACTGAAATATCCATAAGTGGAATGACTACCTAATCAATTATAAACATGGCTGAGGTTAGTGGTACAGAGAGAGGGCTAGGAAAGAATAATCCAGTAACATACTTCCTCTAATCATTAGCTTTTTTGAAGCTTTAATCCTCTAAGTGGCTCCCAGACAATTAGCTCGAAAGCATCAAAAACACAAAGATATGACATAGTCTGAAGCTTTCCCAATGGCAAACATTCTCCAACGAGAAACTACTCCCTTACCTACCCAAGTTACAATTCTTCTAAAGTACTTAACATAGTAAACACAAGCAATAAAAGATAGCATCATACCAATCACATGTAATTAGAAGACCCTTGCAAGATAAGGAAAAATAATACAAGCTATTATTAACAGCACTTCGTTAAAGTTGCTAAGAATACCTCTCCTGCTGTCCAATTACTGCAGCAGGAGTGTGAGAGGATCTGTGAGCTACATTTTCACCTTTAAAAGAACAGCTAAGAAAAAGGTTTTTGGTTAAGGTTTACTGTCCTTCCATTGTAGTTACCCAATTTAACCGGGAAGAGTATAAATGTGAGATAAAGGCAGGCTCTGCATTGTAAATTAAGAATTCAGAACCAAGCGAGCTGCCACTGAATGGTGGTGGTTGATGCTGTGTACCAGAGAGTCGAAACCAAGCCACAGGTCACCGTCCACCAGGTTTTCAGAGGCATATATTGCACAGAAGACTGTCCATCTTTCTTCTGCAGAGCATACCTTGGTGCTGGCAGCACAATTCCTTCCTACTAAACCACTATAGCTCCCTGCCGTGGAATGGAGTAGAGCCTAAATCAGGGTCACCCCATGCACTGAAGAATAGAACTGTGCTGCCTACTAAGCATTTGTTAACACTGTTCCAATTTAAGAAAATTAATGCCACAGTTTGTATTCTTATACCTTTCTCAGGCTCTCATATTCTCCACGAAGTTCCCCAGGCTTGCTTAATTTGATTGGTGCTCTGAATATAAACTCTGCAAGAGAAAATAAGAAAATATTTTTAATGATTCTTTTTAGGAAGGATTCTTTTTCTACTGATTTCCACACATTAGAAACCACATAAACTGGGATCATCTTAATTTTAATATTTATTCATTCATTTAACATATATTTATTAGAGCTTATGAACCAGAGAGTGCATGAAGCATTGAGAAGCACTAAATAAAGTCTTTCCTCTCATGGAAATTGCAATTCTTTGGAGGAAAATGAGTAATAAACAAGTGTGAGTATGCACTACAACCACCGGTTTTACTATGGTGAGAAATAAAACTTACAGTGTAGCAAAAGATTAATTTATATAGAGCTTCTTGGAAGAGATTGGCTGGTAAGTAACATGTCAGAAGACCAAAAAAAAAATTCCATTTATAGTTATTTAGTATTACCAAGTAACATTTTATTGTTACCAAGTAACATTTCAGATGAATAAAGTTTTATTCATAATACTGTATTTTTATTTGTCTTTCTAAACACTGGACTATTTTCCTCCACCTCTCCAAGGACAGGTCCCTCTTTGCAACATGCCCAAAGTGTTTCAGAGCTTTAGAATCCTTGCCTATAAGGAATAGCCTGGCTTCACCCTCTTCAGGACAAAACTGTTTGTTCTCTTAACAATCCGTGGTATAGTCAATACTCTTCTCCAGCACCACAGCTCAAAGGCATCAATTCTTCTTCTATCCTCCCTAGTCATTATCCATCTTTCTGATGCATAGTATGCAAAGAATCACGGCCTAGATCAGGCGCCACCTTAGTCTCTAGACTGACATTGCTACTCTTCAGTAGTCTGGAGATGTCCCTGTCAGCAGACTTACACATACACACCCTAAATTTCACACATAACATTATTTATATATATATATATAAATACATTTTTACATACACAACAACTATTTATCTCACACACTTCATTATCGCTATGTCCCTGGGCAATTGCTGCCCTTTTGATCTTGTATGGTTGATTGGTCTATGGTATTACTATTTACCTTTTGGAGAACAATGACAAATTCAAGAAACACAATAGAACATGGATGTATCTAGCTAGAAGACATTGCTGAGTGAAATAAGTCAGTCACAAAAGGTCAAATATTATGTAAAACTTATACATTATTATACAAAACAAAGGAAAAGTTCACACAAAATAAGTAAATGAATAAAAGACAAACCAAACTGAATTTTTAAAAGGCAAACTATCCAGCAGACAAATCAATCATGAAGTATATGAGCCTAAAACACAGCAAAAACTGAAAATAGTGTAAGGAGAGATCCACACTATGGGGGGAAATTTTAACATACCAAAATTAAAAATACATCGCAATTAAAAATATCAGGTAGACTTCAATGATCAATAAAACCAAAACAGCAAAACAGAACCACAACACACACAAAAAAAATCACCTCATTCCCACTGAGTCAGAACCTTCCAGTGGGTTTCCAAAACTATAAATATCAAGGGAAGAGACTGCCCTCTTTCTCTTGAGGAATCACTGGTGATTTCAAACCAGCTGAGAGGAATGGTCTTTGGACAACGCCCCATGGACTAGGCCACTAGAGCTCCCTAGAGATGCCAACTCACAAGCCATGACTCTCTGGTACTTGAATCCACCCAGTAAGTTTACAAGAGAAAGATAGACAATCTCCTCTTATGCAATATAGTCTCAAAAACACAACAGTGGATCGGCTATGAGTCAGTTCCTACTTAACAGCAATGAGAGAATGAGTAATGGGTAGGTCAGGAGATAGAAAAACTGCACAATAAAATTAACAAGCCTGAAAATACATGAGCATGTATGTATGTGTGTCTGTATATACGTATGTGTGTAAAAATACACACCCCAGTGTATTTTATGTACATTCTTTAAAAGAAACAAGGAGCAAGTTAAAATAATGAATTCATGAATAAGATTATAAAAAATGCTAAATTATCAAGATCAGTTGTCATTTCAATAGGACTCTACTACATTAAATGGCACCATGTTAAAAACAAACAAACAAACAAAACCAAAAAACCACACCCCAAAACTTGATTGCTTGAAGTACTCCTTAAACAGCAACAGGTAAGCATAAAAGGTTGTGAACTGATCCACTGGTTATATCCATTTAAGCATTTAATCTTGTTTTCTATTTTAGTAGTAATCTCCAGAAATAACCAGACAAATAAAAAGTATAAGTCAGTAAGCTTGCAAAAAGAATACTGTATATTGGTACCAGCTGGCAGTAAGTGAGAATATTTAGAAACGTCAAGACTTCTCTGACCAACCCCTCTTAGAAATATTGAATACCACAATTAATAATAGTGAATGCTGAATCACTCAAATAAAACCATCTAGTATTAAATGAGAGCATATCATGTGCTATATCTTACAGACCCCCAAAGATCTCTGAGAAGAAATCTCTTTAGAACTCAGCTTTTACCTGAGAGAGGAGTCAATTAACAACTTCTAAAGTTAATGATTTAGAATCAATGCATTTATTTCCATTTTACTTCCCACTTAATGAAGTTCTTTAAGGGCGCTCTGATGGCCTAGTGGCAAGAAGCTGCACTGCAAACATGAAGCCATACAGTTCGAGGCCACCAGCTGCTCCACAGGAGGAGGATGGAAAATCTCCTCTCATGTGATTAAATGCCTCTAAAAACCCACTGGAGGGTTAGCTGTGGGTCAATTCTGACTCTATGGAACACAACAACAACAACAGAATTCTTTAAATTCTGGAGGAGGGGACACTTAATGTCATGACTAGTATGCATCAGGGATTTTGAGCTTACAGAGTAAATCAGTACATCAAAAGTATTTTGATCTGAAACATTGTGAAATCTAGTATTTCAATCTACCTATGAGAAAATTACCATAAAAATGAAAATCTCTCAAAAGCTTACACTACCACCATAAAATCAGAGTAACAAGACTTCTAAGAAAACAAAACCCTGCACCATACTAAAAATCTCTGCTAAATTTAAATTCATTATTACAATTAAATACATTGTATCAACTCATATCATGGAGGGTCTACCTCTTTCTCAATGAATTAAAAAATTCATAAATTGTTATGCATTTGGTGAAATACTTAGCACTACACAAAGATATGGTTATATTAATGTCTCTTTTAAAAAATAGTTAAAGATTCTATGTTTATATTTCTTTGGACATAAAGGGATAACTCTCTGTAGTCAACAGTTAGTTACATTAACATTTACATTTCACTACAGCATAACTAAGGAGCTCTAGCATTTTAGTGGTAGGAAATTATGTTGCCAATGCAAAAATTGTATGGTTCGAATCTACCAGCTGCTCCATAGGAGAAAAATGGGCAATCTCCTGTGTGATTTACAGGCTCTGAAAAACCACTGGAGGGTCAGCTATGGATCAGTTCAGACTTGATAGTACACAACAACAGTATTACAGTTCATTCATATGACCTGTCTCTGCTTCCTCCTCCAATCTACTGCTTCACCTCATTTCCTTTTCTATCTCATACTTTACATCCTATCAACAGTTTATGATTCCTGGATGAACCTGAATATCTGTGACTCCAAACCACTGCCTGTCATCTATACACTAGGCTAAGAACAACTCATCCTTAAAATGTAGCTTGAATTTTTATAGCACATAAGATAATCAAGAGTAAAAGAGTAAATTTTTTTTTGGGGGGGGGCAGGATTTGCAACAGATGCAGAAGAAAGTTAATGTCTATCACTATGTCACCATCATCTCTTCCAAGGCTGGAAATTATGTACAGTTTGTTATGTGTCAGATCTAATTCTAAGGACTTGTGTGTATTAACTAACTTAATCTTCAAAAAATCCTATAAGGTAGGTACTGTTATTATCACCATTTTGCAGATGATAAAGCAGAAATACAAAACATTTAAAAAACTTATTCTGGCTTTACTGTTGTAAGTCAAAGAGTTATGATTTAAACTGAAGTATTCTGTCTTCATGGTCTTTGCTAATTACCCATTATACCTAATTACCTCTTTAATATAAGTAAAAAAATTGGTAATGCAATAAAAAAACCACTTCATAGAACAGTGGACAAAAGACATGAACAGGCAAGTTACAGAAAATAAATTACTATTAAAATGTTCCATTTCACCAAAATTTGAAGAACATAACACTTAAATATCAGATTGGCAAAGATAAAAATGTTTTATAAAGCTGAGAATCAGCAAAGCTATATGTTTTTCTGTTATGGCAGTTATGATGTAGTATTCCCTTGATAAGACAACATATAACGTAATCACTTCCATGATAAGATTTGCTATGAGAAGCAATTTACCCAGGTGTGTGGCCTGACTTTCAAATACACACACACACACACTCTATTGCTGTTGTTGTGTACTGCAGAGTCAGAACTGACCTATAGCTGATCCTTTGGTGTGTTTTCAGAGGCAATTAATTACACAAGAGGAGATCGCCCATCCTTCTCCCATGGAGCAGCTGGTGGCCTTGAACTACATGCCTCTGGGACTGCTGTGCAGCTTCTTGCCACTAGGCCACCAAACAGATACAGATATAGAGATATATAGATCTGGTGGCCTGGTGGTAAGAAGCTGTGTTCCCCATCTGAAGGCAGGTAGTTTTAACTCACCAGCTGCTCCAAGGGAGAAAGATGGGAAATCTTTTCCCCATGTGAATTGCTGCCTCTGAAAACCTGCCAGAGAGTGAACTATGGACCAGTTCTGACCCTACAGTACACAACAAAAACATTTTATATATATATATGGCAAAGCTTCTTGCTTTTTGTTCTATTAATTTCATGCATCTGGCTTGTTACCATCTGATCTCTCTTTCTCTGCAGTTAAGCCAGCAGCCTGCTGTACTGCCTGGTAATTTTATATTCCTCAGCCTCTGAATTAAGCAGCCTGCCATCTGACCTACCAATCTTTTTTGTATCTACATCTGAAGCTATGTGAATCAGGAGAGGCTTCTATCCTGACATTAAACACATGAATATGATATGGGACTTGTCGAGAGTCATTT